ATAAATTACTGGAATTATCCACCCAAATAAAAAAGCTTACCAGATCAGCATCATGACAGTCTTGTTCATCATCTGTAGTGCTACAGAGCTCAAAAATGTTTGTACAGTCCTGATCACTGCAATGCAATTAAATCTCTGTTACTGGAAGAGCAAAAGCAGGGCTGTTGTTCCTTAAACTCAACCACAACCAAGAGCTACTTGTAAAAAGGGGAGACAGTAACTAAGAATTAATATAGAAATTAGCATTAGGAATTTGAAAGGGGCTTTCCCACTTCTTTCAAAATAAACCTCTCAAGTGGTTTATTAAGTGAGTTCCTGCAACTGGAACTTCTACCCATGACAGCACAGAACTTATTGTATGGGTTGAACTACTCAACATCCTCAATGTCAAGTAATATTTTGGTACTAAAAATACTATAAATACCAGGGAAAACAAGTTAAAATGCCTCTAAGTTGGACATCTCAGTATTTAAAATAAGATTCAGAAAGAATTCTACACCTGTCCCTGCAGTGCACTGAGAAACAAGCAAAAGCAGGGCTCACAGCAAAGGGATTATTAAGCTGCTTACACTCTCCCACTGTTGAAGAGCATGAGGGTTCCAACATTATTTAGATTAAAATGCCACTTACTTGATGAACTTTAAGAGCTGGGTAGTGATCTTTTTTGCAGCTCTGGCAATGGCACTCCCAGGTTCATTGAAGGTTCTGGCATTGCTTTCAATGTATCTGACTTCCCAAACCAAAGCTGAGATTCTCCTGCAAATCAGAAAACACTGCACCTTTAAAACTAAAGAAAAGCTTAAAACCAGCAAAAACTGCATCTTGGTAATTTTCTGGCCACGTCACATTTAGATGCCCTTTGTTTTGTGTCTCATCAGATCAGTCTCAAACTTCTCATTCACATGGAAAATGCAAGGAAGCAAAACCAACAGTGCATGTATTGAATGACTTGTTCTCCAACTCGTTATTATAATTCATCCTCAGAAAGTCTGGGATATAAATTCATACACAGCCCTGTAAGCACTAGCACTTGTTACCAGTAAATCAGAAAATACCACTGAAATAATCCTGAGGATTGGGGATTCCCTGGAATCTTTAAAAAGATTTTTTAAAAGCTTACATTTCACCTGAACCAAAAGTACTGTTTAATCACTGTAAATTATCACATTTCTTCTGGAAACATCAGAAGGTGCTTCCACAAAGCCCTGACAAATGGAACACAAGTTTTGTTGTATCTGAGGAATTTTTAATTAATAAACACAAGGCACAAGCAATTAAAAGAAAAGTGAGAAGCAGCTTTGTCTAATTAAATTTTTAAAGACAGCCACAAGGTTCCTTTCTGTCTTCCCTCACAGACCTTGCTTTTAGGCCACCAGGCAAAGCAGTGCCCTCTGTAAAATGATAGATGTGAGAAACTGCTACAAATTAAAACTATAACTTGATAGAAATGAGCTCCCACAAATGTGTCATTTCATTTTTATAACTCATTTCTCTAATTCCTTATAGTTGGCAGTTCTTCAGCTACAGAATTCCAAATTATTTCCCAAGACATTGTTTCCATCTTACAGAGGAGGTAAACCACGATTAATGACTCTTCACTATATTTAGAGACACCTTGAATGCAGGTCTAGATGAAAAATATATTTAACATTATTTTAGAGCTATGGACACCCAGCACATCCAGCAAATCAGAACTTTATCACCAATACACTCTCCCCTCTTTCTCTTAAATTTTATCACTTGAAATGCTGGAGATAATATTTAACATTTCACCTCTGTGTTTCAGCCCATTTCTTAAAGTAATTTAAGAGCTTAAGGGCTTAACCCTCTTCAAATTCAAGGTAACTGAAGTCCAGCACTTCAGTACCTGAATTGCCTTTAGGACTGAAGTAAGTTCAGGGTTTTTTTTTAATATTTGGTGATTTCAAAGAGTAAATTTCTCAGAGAATAAATGTCAGTGTTCATTGTAAGTCTGAAAGCAGTCCCAATGTGATCTTCTCCCATGTTCCCCTGGAAGCACTGACCTGTAGAACCTGTTGGCCAGCCTGGTCCTGATGGTGTTGAGGTCTGTGGGATAAGCAATCACTGTGCAGTATTTGGGGTATGTGCACAGATCAACAGGGCCAGAGAAAGGTGCTGAAATGTCTGGGAAGAAACAGCAACAACAGCAAGATTTAACTGTTTGAACTGCAGCCTTCCAGTACCTGAGGGGAGCCCCCAGGAAACATGGACAGGGACTATTTGCAAGGAGTGACAGGACAAGGAAGAATGGCTTCAAACTGACAAAGAATAGGGTTAGATGGGATATGGGGAAGAAATTCTTCCCTTTGAGGGTGCCCAGAGAAGCTGTGGCTGCCCCATCCCTGGAAGTGTCCAAAGCCAGCCTGGATGGGGCTTGGAACAACCTGGGCTAGTGGGAGATGTCCCTGCCCATGGCAGGGGGGTGGGACCAGATGATCTTTAAGGTCTCTTCCAACCCAAACCATTCTGTGATTCTATGAACTGCCATAATTTGCATTTGCATTCTGAATTGGTAAATGAAGGTTACGTTTTTAACATGAAATCCTTTAGATAGGATTTCTGTAGGGTTTGGTTTTCTTGCAGGGGGTTGGAACTGGATGATCTTTAAGGTCCCTTCCAACCCAGGCCATTCCATAATCCTGTTGCAAAGCTTGCAGGCAGGTGACAATTGAGGCAGGTGTTCAGTTTTTATGTGTAATTATTCTTGATAAAACCAATGACTTATAAAATTATTACAGAATGTGCTCAGTTGAAAGTGACCCACAAGGATCAGAGTCCAACCCCTGGCCCTGCAGGCCAAGATCCTCAAGAATCCCCCCATGTGCCTGAGAGTATCATCCAAATTCTCCTGGAGCTCTGGCAGCCTTGGGGCCGTGCCCACTGCCCTGGGGAGCCTGGGCAGTGCCCACCACCCTCTGGGGGAAGAACCTTGTCCTGAGATCCAACCTAAACCTGCCCTGACACAACCTCAGGCCATTCCCTGGGTGCTGTCCCTGGTCCCCCCAGAGCAGAGCTCAGTGCCTGCCCCTCAAGCTGTGACTGCAACGTGCTCTCCCCTCAAGTCTCCTCCAGGCTGAACCACATAAAAACATATGAACATTTACAGTCCTTTATCACAGGGAATGGGATGCCCTGGATATTCCTGGGCTCTTTATAAATCAAGGTTAGGAGCAAACTACCTAAAGCTTGGATTCCATGCTCACCAAGAGTCATAAGCTGATCAATACCACTGATAATCCGTTCACAGGCTTCATCCCGGGATTTCATCCCCCACTCCCCTTCCTGGGGTTTGTACAGGAGCCTCTCCACCTCTTCTGGAGTCACAGAGACACTGCCTCCTAATTCCTCAGGCTGATCAACTGAAGAGACACAGAAGAGAGGGGAAGGAGTGAGAATACACAAGATAAATTGTGTACTACTCACACTTATTAATCATGGGCTTGTAAAGGACAAAAAAAATCAATCCTGCCTTGAAATGGAGTTTGATGATAAAACTACGGGCAAGAGATTACACAAAATGTACCTAACAGCAAAATATCCTTTGTTCTCTCCTTCTGCAGTTCTGAACTTCCAGAAAACTCTTTCCTCCCCTTCTTCTAAGCACAAGACTTAACAGAGGACTTGAGTCAGAAAGGTTGTTTATGCATTTTCAGATGCACATCCCAAACTTCACAGGATCACAATGTCATGAGCCAGTTTGTGCCACAAACCTTTAAACAGCTGCAGGTTAGACCTTGTGACACCCTTCTTGGCATCACTGACTGTGATCTGACAATTTTAAAGTATTTGTTTCCAGCATGGCAGATTTCAAAGCAACAAGAATGCTGGCTTAGAGCTGGATATAAACAGCACCTCCATCAGCATGGAAGAGTCTGTCCATGGAAAATAAAGGCAAGGAAGGAAAAGGCTCCTTGGCAGTGTCAGGATGACTGTAATCCATGAATATGCTGCATATCAAGACTAAAATACATTTCAGCTACAACTAAGGCAGAGAAAACTCCAAGTTTTAATGGAGGATCCTCTAAGTTTACCAAAAGTACTATTTTCTTCCCTTCAGCTGAAGAGGGTTAATAACTCAAATAATTTCTAGTTCTCTGTTCATTATTGCACTGACAGAGCCCTAAAGTGTTTGTTGTTCACTTAAACAACACTAAACATGAAGCAGTTCTTCAAGACACATTTGAATGTGTGTCTTCATAACCATGAGACAAAACTTATGCTGGCAGGATCCAGCAAAAAACCAAATTATTAGCACCCTCAGTGCTGCTTTTGTGCCACACATCCATCTTAGCAAACTGAAGGGAGAAGAAATATTTTGGGAGAAGCGTGGTAAACCAAAGGTACAGTTTCCATCTGATCTGTAAGTCATTCCATTGAAAAACAAGGAAGGTAAAGCAAAGGAGAAGGGGGTTAAATCCCTTTTACACTACATTCTTAGCATAATAATGGTTCTATAAATGCACTAAGTCTGTCTAACAGCTTCACTTCCCCACACAGTGTCATTTTCTGCCTGGAAAGAATGAAAACAAGGAGTTCTGGATTCTCCTTAGACAATTTTTGTTCTTCCTGCAGACAGTTAGTTGCTGTGGCCCTTATCCATGACCTGTTCAGAGGATGTTACTCCCAATTTTTTGACCTTATCCATCAAAGACACATCACCATTTAGTTTTGTTTTATTCCTGTGTGTCCCTTCCCTGTTTTCCTGTGGTAAAGTCATGGACGCAGATTAGAGAGAACATCCTCCCGTGTGCAATATATTGAGATTTAAGAAGAAATATAGTACAAGCCTTTCAGATGTCTGGGAAACACCCAGTAAAGGTTATTAATAAATTAAATTTATTGTCTTTTTTTTACAGCTTATTCAGCAACTATTCCCTCAGTAACTCCCAAACTCTCTCCAAACATTTAAAGTACTTCCTTCAAAATTGCCCTGGAAGATGCAAAGGGAAAAATATAAGTATACTGAAGTTACTTCATTAAATCTGAATCAAGACTGTCTTTAAGAACTCACAGCAAAGACAGGAATCACCTCAGGTCCAGTACCTGAATGAAACAAAAAACTGGAAAGAGGGAGAAGCACATTAAAGCAATTTATTAACAGGTTTCTACCTACCATTATCAGGAACTGGTTCCATGTCCCAGGGGCTCAGCTTTTCAATTTCACCATTGTCCCATCTGATTCACCATGGAAAAAGTAAAATAGAATAATAATAATTTCAAGTTATCTTGGCTCAGATGTATTCCCTCCAAGCATATTTCAATCACAGCTATAAGAACATTTAAATTACAGCTATTTTTAGGTATTGGCAAAATATATTGTATAAACTTGCATGTAAACAAACCAGCAAAAAGGAAACACTTTTTCAAGTTAAAACTGTCCTGATTTTGGCTGTATGCAACCTACCCAATTTATAAATCAATTTTACAAAGCCTGTATCAAGCAGCTTAGGATGAAAAATAAGCTGCACACCTGGAAAAGTGAGATAACAACATCAAGGGGAGGATTTGAGGAAAAACACAGGGGAGGATTTTTCTGCTGACCACAACAGGAGTTGGGCAAGTCCATGGACTGTGTCAGAATAAGGGAGAACAGTAAGTGAGGTATTACCCATATTAACATTTCATTTTACAGGGCAGACCATATAAAACCAAAGAAAATAAATATAAAATGAAGAAACTGAAGTTAATTAAGGTCTAACTGCAGCAAAAGCAGCCAAGTGAGATTGATATACCTGTATGTTCGCTCTGACACTGAAATGTCAAGTATGAACAGCAGTTTGAGATCCCTCCAAACCCTTACATGGTTTTAAAAACACCCAAAATACCACTAAATTTTGGTACTTCAAACCTAAGAAATGTCTGACTGGATCAGCTGGTCCAACTACACCAGGAATTTATGTCCTTGAAGTTGTAAGATGCTGTTTGCAGTCCATATGATCCTGGTACAAGCCCATTCTACTCATCATTCCAGCACTCCTGATCCCTGTATTCCTCCAGGCATGTCTGTGAACACATCCCAACCTATTTCCTTTACTATCTGCTGCTTTTTGTCCACTATCTTTTTGAACCTGCTGATATTGCTCTCACAGCCTCCTATGGAAGTGTATTTGCTCCAATCCTGTCAGCTTGGTTTCTCTAACAGTTTTTATATATATATTATTTTTTATATATTATTCTTTATTATCAGCACCTACCAGAAATAAATGTATCAATCTACAGTTCACCATTTTCCCTCCTGAGCTTTGCCAGCAGCTTCCTGGCAGAGTTTTCCAAATTCCTGGGTGAATGCCATCGAATTCTGATGCCTTAATAAACTCAGATATTTGGTCTAAAACCTCCTGCGTGTTTATTTCAAACCAACTGGAAACTGAAGTGACCACACTGAGAGCATTTTGTAATTAAACCTCTGCTCAGGCAACAGCATCTCTCCATTGTTTTGGATTATCCAATGACTTGGGAAAACTTGGATGCATCCAGTTCAGCCTGTTTGATCTCTGAAGGTTCATGAGTTCAGTTCTCCTCCCTAGCTACTGTACAATATTTCAGAAGTTGCTGATATTCCCAAATAAACTACTCCATAATCTTGCATGTAAGACTTTATCAACATAGTTTAGCACAGCTTAAGCCCCTCTTAGTTCTGCTTAAGCTCTGTTTATCCAAGTAATGTAACTTAACATATCAAGCTGCTTTACACAAACACCTGTTATTATCTGGCCAATAAAACAACAAAAAATTCAATTTATCTTCAATTTATTTCTTATCCATACAACAGTAATGGCGATAATTTGAGATTACTGAGTGTGTGACAAAAAGAGTAAGTCACAAAACCCAAATACACCTGCCAAACACTCCAGATATTTTTATATACATATCTTAGGATTCTCCTCTAGAAGAGGTGTTTGTGAGACCAGTTAGAACAGTCACATTCTCTCCAAAGGCAGCACAGATCCTGGAAGAGATCCCTTTGGAAAGTGGTCTTTGGGGAGTACAGCATTCCTTCCCTGTTCAGTTATGAAGCTCTGCTCTGCTAAAGGCTGGTACATTAAAATACTGAAATATCCTTTAGCCCTCACAGAAGAAAGGAGCTCAGGAAATTGGCTCCAGGCTCTGTTTCATAACTGGAAACTTGATTTTGAACTGGGCAAGAAAACAACCAAATCCATCTAAACTTGCTCTTAAGGAACAACTGTGGTACATAACAACATAAATGATGAGATGTACAGATATGGGAAGGAACAGAACAGGCAAGAACTTCAATCTGGGAGTTAATTCCACCTTCCCACCAAGGAAAATCAATGGGATAGAAGACAAGGAAAGCAGATGAGACAAGGAACCAAAATATGTAACACAATCTTGGCAGTCTCACAGAATTGCCTATTACCTATAAATATTTCCTCTCTTTGTGCTGAGCAACAAGTTCAAAAGCCTCTGAGTAAAAAAAAACAAATAAAATTAAAAAGTCCTTCAACGATGAAAATCTGAATATTAAATGTACTGTAAAAGATATGGGAACAATCCCTGGCATGGTAAAAACAGGAATAGTAAGTATTCATTGTTTATTCTTCTTAAAGTCATCCCTCACTGGGGGGATCCAAAGCAGGCAAGATCCCAGGATTACCCTTCCAGTGCCCAGTGGGAAGTTACAAGAGAGCTGGAGAGGGACTTTTCACAAGGGCAGGTATGACAGGACAAGGGGAATGGCTTCAGACTGACAGAGAGCAGGGTTAGATGGGATGTTAGGAAGGAATTCTTCCCTGTGAGGGTGGTGATGCCCTGGCCCAGGTTGCCCAGAGAAGCTGTGGCTGCCCCTGGATCCCTGGAAGTGTCCAAGGCCAGCTTGGACGGAGCTTGGAGCAACCTGGGCTGGTGGAAGGTGTCCCTGCCCATGGCAGGGGGTGGAATGAGATGATCTTTAAGGTCCCTTCCAACCCAAACCATTCTGTGTTTCTGTTCCACACAGCTTGGACAGGGCAGGACAAGGATGATGTCCTGATTCTGAACACTGAGGTCCAGAAATATCTTTGTTCATCTTCCCCTTTGTGTGAAGGCCTCTTTGTTGATGTGAAAAAGGGTGCACAATGTGACAGACAAAGTGTGAGGACTGGAAGCATAAGGGCCATGATGCCAGCAACCACAGCAGAGATGGAGCACCTCCCATCCAAAATCAATTATCAATGAAGAGTAATAATTAATATTCACTGAAAATTGCACTGCTTGGCTCATGGAAGAGATCCAGCCTCAGTCATTACAGAAAATGTGAAGAGGTCAACAGCTCCTTTTCCCATATTGCTATCCACTAACAAGCTGCCACAAGTTCTCACATATTCTTACTACATTAGCAACTTTAAACCATTAAGTGACAATAAACCCAGGAAAATTATTTAATTGAGCAATTTATACATTCTCACACTAATAAAGGCAGCTGTGTGAGAGGCAACCCACACCACCACCAACAGAAGTGTAAAATCTTGCACTTACTTAACACTGTAGCACTGGAAGTGACTGTCTGGGTACTGAGGCTGGTAAGGTTCTTGTCCCAGCACTGTCCCAAACCACCAGGCGTCGTCAATGATGGAGCGGAACCTGTCGGCTACAGCACAACACTCTGCTCAGATATTCTGCTAAGGGAAGTTATTGAACTGCTTCTCTTCTACAGGCAATTAGAAAATCTGCTGATAAATGTTGTTTCTTCATTTCTTTTTGTAATTAAAGTTCTAAACCCACCGGCACACACGGAAAGAGATGAGATCTCAACAGATGTTCTGAAGACCCTATTAAGCTCCAAGGCTCAAATATCTAATTCTACTACTACTACTACTACTACTACTACTACTACTACTACTACTACTACTACTAGGGAACCCTCTGAACCTACAGACAAGCAGGAATTAGCCAAGGACACGTTTCTGCTTTGAAAACTGATCAGTCAAACACTCAGCCAACACACTTACAGGCCTGCCAGTTCCTCTGCCGGGCTTCGTCGTAGAACTGCCGTAAGATAAGGAAGTCGATAACATCTGGCATGTCGTGGTACCTACAGGGAAAGAAAATCCCCTATTTCACTTGTTCCTCAGGGCTTTAGGAGGAAGATTCAACAGAAGCACATTTTTAAATACTTTTCAGAGAAGCAGAGATGCACATACCTGATGGAAAACGATTTGTCTGTGTGCTTGCCAGTGGCGTGGTCTATGAAGGCGAGTTTGAGGCAACACAGCGTGGGAGGGCCAACTTCATACCTAATCCCAACAATTTTTACCAATTCCTGATCCTACAGGTAAGAACAAACAGCTTCAGGAAGTTTTACCCCAGGGACCACGCACAGAATAGTCAGTTTAACATCAGTCAAACAACTGCACTGCATGCAAAAACCCCCAAATATTGAAACTAGATCAGAAATTTCAGTGACAGTCAGTTAAACCTGGAATTCTTAACACAGGGATTTAATCTGGGCTTCCCACAGGGAACTCTGAAGACACTCTGGGAATTGAAGACACTTTCCCCTGTTGTTTTACAAGCAGTGTAATGAAACTCTTCAGTCACAGATGACTGATACTGAACCCACAGACTCCTCAGTGCAGACCTACCCTCAGCACTACTTTCCTCCACGGCTCCTTGTGTGGATTCAGTTCGTAAATGTTATTTCTTCTCACTTCTTCAATGTAAGCTTCGTGCCCTTGTCGGAAATATATCACCTAAAACAAAGCCCAGCAAACCCCAAACAGTCAGTGTTTTCCTGTGTTTAGTAATCAGGGTAATCACAGGAGCACTGGAAGGTTTTAATCAGTGTTCCTACCTCGTCACCCATCTGAGGGACGAAGGGGGATCTCCGAAGAGCTGTGTCTGTTATCCAAACTGGAGGGTGCCAGTCATGGGACAATTCCATGTTTAATGGTTGTGTTGCAGCATCAGCCTGCACAAAATTAGACACAACGGACACAAATTCAACTCATTACATTTTAATTTGGCATACAACAACTTATTAAAAATTTATCAAGCTGTAAGAAACTATGTGAGATTAGTTGAAGGAAAGTGGAATGATGGAGAGAAAAACATGGCAAAAACATATCAAAATAACCCCAAAAACCCAATTTGTTTGCTCCTTTATGGTAGAAAATAACAAACAGGAGTTATTGTAACTTAAAAAAGGGTAATTGTTTGAATTCACTAGAAAATTTTTGAAAAATTCTTTTAACTAATAAATAAAATAGTAAAAAATTAAAAATTCAACTTAAGTATAAATGAGCATCATCAATACAGTGACTGTGTCCCTTAGAACAGCCATGTTATTTAAAACCAGACATTTTGACAGGGTTATAGTCACAGAGTCATGGAATGGTTTGAGTTGGAAGGGACCTTAAAGATCATCTCATTCCAAACCCCTGCAGGGACACCCTCCACTATCCCAGGTTGCTCCAAGCCCCGTCCAACCTGGTCTTGGAAACTTCCAGGGATCCAGGGGCAGCCACAGCTTCTCTGGGCAACCTGGGCCAGGGCCTCCCCACCCTCACAGGGAAGGATTCCTTCCTAATATCCCATCTAACCCTACTGTTTTTCTGTTTGAAGCCATTCCCCCTTGTCCTATCACTCCATGCCCTTGTGAAAAGTCTGATATTCTGTACAGGTATTTAATAAACACATTTCCCTTGTAATACCAGCAACCTTGAGAACCCTTTTTATGTGGAAAGCGAGAGTGACTTCACTTGGAATGCTGATTCTTCCCTAGAAATCAGCAGATGCCTCACATCTGGGATGGCCTCAAACCAACTCCACATAACTGTGTGGAGTGACACCAATATTCCTGTCTAATCACAACAAAATGACTTCAACAGTTTCCAGTGAAGAGGCCCAAAACCAGAGAGAGAAACCACTTGAAGACCGAGTAGAAGCAATGAAATTTATACCTCCTCCTGCCTTTTTGGTTTGGGTTTTTTTCTCCTTTTCCTCCTTCTTCTCTTGGGAGGGGATGATTTCTCTGTTGACACCTCATCCTCCGAGGTGCTGCAGTACCTGAGCGCTTGGCGCCGCGAGGTCCGCACGGGGGGCTGCAGGTTGATCCCGGCGTCCGCGATCCAGTCGGAATATCTGCTCGAGGAATCGCTGCCCGAGGGGCCAGGGAAACACAAACAACAGAGCCAAGAGGTCACTATTTCCAGCAGATGACAATTGCTGGTGAAAGCAGCATCAGAATCACTACAGTCCCTTTGACCTTGTCGTGACAATTACTTCAAGTTTAACGTGATTTTTTGGGGAACAACGGGAATTCAAAGCACGTTTCTTAAAAAAACTGAAGTCTGGTGATTTCTAAAATCAGACATTTTATTCAATAAAGTTGTGTAATGAAGTTTTGGACTAGTGAGGAGCCCTCCCTAAAGAACACAGTAGACAAACACTGCTTAAATTCTTTACAGTTATATACAACTCACAGCTACACATCTGCTTTTTCTCTCTCTCTGCATTTTTAGGTTCTACTACTACAGAGTTCTAGAAAAAATATCTTAAAAAGCCAAAACAGTGATTAAAAAGTTATCTACAACTTCAGTCCTACATGAAACTAGAACCTTATAAAAATTAAGATTTTTTTCCCAATACATTTTGTAGAGCAAGGAATTGACTGTTGTTGTATTATTCAAAGAAATAAACCTATACAAACAAAAAAAAAACCCCCAAACCAAACAAAATCACTCACGCCTCAAAAACACAATATAACACAGTATAAAAGTGTTCCAGGTTATTTTCTCTCTCCTTGTCATCTAGCAAAAAATCCAGAGGGATTTGAAACTACATTAAAAGACAGAAATTATTTGGTGAAATGGAACAATAAATAACAATTCAGTGTGTCAGTAAAGTACAGGAATTCTAATATAGAATGGAATCACATCTCAGGCACACCCAGAGCTTCTACACAACTCTGAAGTTGCCAAAATTCAAGTCAAACTCATCACCAAGTAAAATCTGGGTTGTTTGTTCCCTTTTACCTAGAACTATTACTGTTGCTTTTCTTGTCACTTCTCCACTCTTCCTCTTCATCTGACGAGCCAGAGCCCTCACTTTCTTCAGCTTCCTAAATTTAAAGACAAGCAGTCAGTCCCAAATTTTCTCAGAGCACGTGTTTTAAGGATTTGAAACATAAACCCACATTTATGTTATCAAGCCAGGAAGAAACGGGGTAAAAAGTTAAAATGGAAATGAAAGGAATTAGGGTATGTAAGGTATAGCAGGAAATCTCTCTCAGAGGGAGGAATTTACACACTGGAAAAGGAAAAGATCAAGAGAAAACATCACATCTCCCCTCCACACACAACATGGGTATATTCTGTCCCTCCTATGGGTTTTTTTTTTCTTAATTATGAAAATTAGAATCAGGTTTGGTTTTTTTTGTTCCCTTGGTTTTGGCATCAACTGATTGACCAAGTAGTAACTGGGTGTATTCCTGCATGTATTTAAATGCAAAACTAAATAGTACATATACATCAAAATATATCCTGACTTCAGTAATTTCCTGATTGTTGTTCAGCTTTTTATTTGCACCAACTTCATGTTTCAAATGTGTTTTCCACAGCTAAAATAATATAATGCATTGTTTATTTCTCAAGCTCTGTGCTGTCAAGCAAAAAACCAGAAATAATAAACCCCCAATAAACAAGACTGAATGTGAAATTTCAGTTCTTTTTTATCCTACCATTCACAGGAATAAAACCAAAAAATAAACCAAAAAACCTTGAACATTTACATAAATGCCCAGAATTTTATAAGATTATTACTTCAAATATTATTTGGTCAAACATCACTTTTTCAGAAGTATTTCAGGCATGTGGTATTTACAGGGCACTGCACACAACTCTCCCATTATCACTTTGTGCTTTCAGTGTCAGGTGGCAGAAGTTTCCTGTCACCTGCCCTTCCACACTGCTCCCAAAATAAGGAAGACCTGAACTTTTCATTAAATTTAAGTGACTTGTTTTTAACCACATTGGAATTCTTTATTAAGAGGCCAGAAGAGGAGAGTCCATTTCCAAGGAATATCATTCCTTGTCTTACTTACAAGATTTCCTTATCTCCTGAACATCCTCCATTTTGTTCACCATTCTTCTCTGACCAAGTGACTGCTCCAACCTTCTCTACTCCTTCCAATTCCTCCCCTTTTCCCAGTTTGAGACTATTTCCTTTCCTTCCTTAAAACAACTCCAGTCCAACAGTTCTACCACTGATTTACAAGTTCTCATAATCCAACAGCCAAAAGCTCCTGCTGCCCACAGCAAAGTCCTGTGTCAGCCCAAGCCAAGAGGAACAGACCCTGTGGAAGAATCACATCACCAAAGACCTTCACAAGGTCCACTCTTAGTTGTGTGCACGAATTTGGAAGGTTTTCACAGAGGAACAGCAAAGCCCATCTAAAATCCAAACTTCAGCTGAAGTTCAGTTGTCCATCAGGTTTTTGCATTTGGTTTAGAGGATCCTCAGCAAAACCAGTTCAGCCATTTATAAAGTGACAGGAAAGACTGTTGTTATCAAAGCAACAAATATCAAAGTTTGGGATGTGCCAACAATAATGATGCCCAGAAAAATACTTCCTCTGGAAAAACAGAAAGTTTCTTTGTTTGCTTCTTTGTTTTAAGAGAAAAAAGGCATATTTATGTGAAACTTCACCTACTGAGGAGCTCAAATTCAAAATGACAACTCAGAAAAGAGCTTACCTGGTCTATCAAGCCCAAGCAGTTGTCCCTTTCCTCATCAGAAGACTCCAGCTGTTCAATGTTATTCCGGGTTCGGTAATTGGAATATTTCCGTCTGTGCAGTCGGCGCTTTGATTGGATTAATGAGGACTCAGAGTCACTCTAATTGGAGGTGAAAAAACAAGTTAAATAAAAATATTTATGTGGCACACTTGTCTGAGGGTGAAAGGGTGGCTAAAAGCATTGCTGACTGCAAAACTGAAATGGTCTCATCACGTCACAGCCTCGTCATAACAAAATTCCCCTTCAAAATAATATCCCTGTAAGTCAAAAGTTTTAAATTTGCTGTTCCAAATTCAGGATTTATTAAGAAATTGCTCTTTTCAAGCTACTGTGACAGGTCCATTCACATAACCTGCTAAATATATTTACAGAAGCAAGACATTAAGTGCCTAAAATGTGCAATTCTGAGGGAAGAGAAATCACAGAATGGGTTGGAAGGGACCTTAAAGACCATCCAGTCCCACCCCCTGCCATGGGCAGGGACACCTTCCACTAGCCCAGGTTGCTCCAAGACCTGTCCAACCTGGCCTTGGACACTTCCAGGGATCCAGGGGCAGCCACAGCTTCTCTGAGCAACCTGTGCCAGGGCCTCCCCACCCTCACAGACAAGAATTTCTTCCTAATATCCCATCTAACCCTACTCTCTGTCAGTTTGAAGTCATTCCAGCTTGTCCTGTCCCTCCAGGCCCTTGGAAATAGTCTTTCTCCATGTTTCTTGTAGCTCCTTCAGGTCCTGGAAGGTCACAGTTAGGTCATCCCAAACCCTTCCCTTCTCCAGGCTGAACAATCCTAAGTCTCTGAGCCTTTCTTTCCCTAACTCCCCTCAGGAAAGGGGATCATGCAGTAAAATTCTTGGATCAAACTGTTTTGTACTGCAAGACACAGTGAATCAGGCCCCAATCTTATAAAAACAGCACAGTAACCAAGTTTTGCTTCTTACCAATCTCTTCCACAGACCAGACCACGAAAAAAGCATTCAAAACAAGGCAAGTCTGAAAAACTCTCCCCATTCACAAAACCTTGTCATGTGAAGTAAAATGAGGGAACAGCAATACAGCCTGTAATTCCTGAAGTATGGGATCTGGAATGTTCTCCCTTGCACCTCAGTGCTTCAGCAGGGACCTGCAACCACTGGGTTCCACTGCAGCAAACCCAGCATGGCCTGAAAGCAAACCTGCCTTAAAGAATGACTCCCAAATTCCTCAGATGGAAGGAGGCAGGACTGAAAACAAATAGAATTCTAGGTATTCATAAAAATAAATCAAACCTTGTCCTGCAATAATTGGAAGCTGAATCATATTCATAAAAATAAATCAAACCTTGTCCTGCAATAATTGGAAGCTGAATCATCAGGGTCCTCTGAGGGCCACACCTTCAGAAAGACCTGCTTTCAGTTTTTACACCACTTGTCCCCAGGCACAGAATGCCCATTTTCCAAGGGGCTCCCACATACCTTTTCCAATGACTCAAATGACTTTATCTTCTCTGTTACATAAAGATCTCTCTCTTCTTCCCCTTTTGCAGTCCGATATTCTTCCTGCTTCCTACAAGAAAGTCGGGAAAATCCAATTCTCCATCTGTTTTGACAGTGCTGATCTCATTAAAGGATCTATCCCAAAATGCCTAATTCCACTTGACTGTTAACTGCAGTTCCTAGTGCTCAAACAACTCTCTTCTCATTTCCAGATAAGAGTAAAAAAGAAGGGTATTGGGAAATTCTTCCTTGCAAACATCAAAATATAAACAACTTTTCCAACCCCATTTTTAATCCACATTCCTCCCTTTGCCATCATTCTACTTCCCAACACAGGAAATGCTGCTCAAAACCTTCAGAGGTGCGGTAGCACATATGGCTAAAGAGAAATATTTAGCTATTAATTTTTCTTTTTACAGATGATTCAGAGAATATTCTGAGCTGGAAGTGACCCACAAGGATCATCTCAGTCCAGCTCTTAAGTTAGTGGCCCATATGGAGATTTTCTCCCATGACATTGCATTATCAGCACCACGTTCTAATACTGAGAATCCTTTTGAAAGCAGCTGGTTTAGGGTTAAGGTTTTCTAGTTTTTTTATTTCAAGTGCTTGGTGCTGCTCCTGGTCAAAAATCACCCCCAAAAGTCTCACAGAAAGCACAGTCTCACTCAACTCTTTCATGTAAATGAATTCAACCCCTATCTTTTATTTTGGAGAAAGCAGGAATTTTGGTCATCTAGCTGGCCTTGAAGATGACTGAATATATTGAAATACAAGATAACCATTCAACTAGAGAAACTTCCCTTTAGTCTTGCTGAATGGCCTTTACAATTTAGAATATTTAAGCACATCTGACCACGACACTGAACTACTCCTACTTCAGCTTTGGTTTAACAGCCCCAGGTGTACCAAAACCCAGCTGAAGTGTTCTCCCTGGTCACACCTGCAGCCCAGCAGGCTGGCACAGACCTGAGCAGGCTTGCTGGGACTTCTGGCACCACAACCCTCCTCCTCCAGGCCTGCAGGTCCCTCTCTGTGGCCATCTGGCTGCGTGGGGCGTTCTGGTGCATCTGCCTCACGCCCTCCACCTGCCCGCTGCGCCGCAGCCCGATGTTGGGGGGGCTCTGGATGTCCACACTCGCCCTCCTGAAAGCTAAAACACACAAAAAACACCCTTTTTTTTTTTTTTTTACCAGGCTACAGAGAACTGGAGCCTTGTTTCTCCTTGCTACAAGATAATTAATGTTTTATAGATTTATATGGCTGCGATTGTAAGGATGCGACTTCAAACCAACCTTCGAGAATTATCCGTGTCACAGAAAATACAAAAGTTATACAGAAAATACAGAGAGATTACACAAAGACTTTTAAAAATTATCATTTCTGCTACTATTTTAATACAGTGGAAGGAAGTGGGAAGTGACACAGGGGTTTTCTTGAACTTCCAGGCAGCTCTGAGGCTGGTGAGGCTCTAAAAAGCACTTTTCCTGGAGCTGAGTGTACAGAATTAAAAATAAATTATTATATAATTAAATATAATTATACATCGTGTATTTACATGATTATATATCTCCTATTTACACAATTATATACCATATTTTTACATATATATATTTTATAATTCTCTAATTAAAACTACAAGGACACAGCTCAGAAAAGCATCTCATTTAAATCTGTAAAGAAGGGAGAGGAGAAACCAGTTTGAATAATGGCACAATTCTTATTTTGCAAAAAAATGAGTATTGCAAAAACATTTATAATCATATTTTTATATTTATACTAAAAATATTTGGGGAAAATAAGTATTGTATTTATTTTGCATAAATGTTATTTGAGTACTTTACAAATATTATTAAGTATGCAGCACTCCACAAGGAATAAAATTAACGTTGTTCAAAAGGAAAAGTGAAATGGTCTGTTTTGGAATTTAATCACAGGAGTAGCTGTTTTAATCAGGAAAAGTATCTTACCCAGTTATCACTATGTTAAAGGAATCTTAGTCCCCAAAACAACAATAAAGCTAAAACCTGTTCCAGTATTTCATACAGGGTAATAAAAATGGAGACAGAACAATCACCTAAGAATTTATCAGTGATTACCAACCTCTTCTGGGTGTTCCCTCCCCATTTTGTGGGGCATTTGAAGCAGATTCTTGATCAGCTCCAGTTCTCTGATCCTGCTCCAGCTGTAACTGTCTGATCATCCCATCCAGGATGCTGGGCTCCAAGCCCTGCTCATCCTGATCAATGGTCTGCTGGCCAATCACTTGTTCCACCACTTCTCCATCACCTTGCAAGTGTAAAACAAAGCAAAGGGATGAAATTATTCCAGTTGCTTATTCCAAAAGAGAATTTATGGAGTCTACAGCTCCAGCACAGCCCGTGCACGTCAGAAAGGAACCGAACGAGTGAACTGGTCTTTAGTGGTTCTGTTCTTACTTGTTGCCACATATCCAAGCTGAGGAATCAGATGTTCATCTGCACAGTTCTCCCTTCCTGGCACCAGTCTCTGATATTTTGTGGGATGAGGGTTTCCATCCACATCCACTAAGAAGGGAGGAGGCATGAGATGAGGGGCCTGCTGGGTCTGCTCATCCAGGACGTAGTTGTTGGAGTCCCGGATCAGCGGCCGATAGTCCGTGTGGAAGAACATCTGGTCAGGAATCTGAAGGAAATTTTATCTTTGTGTCATCAATTTGACAAAAAGAAGATGCCAAAGAACAGAATAAAGTATCTGAAATCTCCCTAAAGGTAAAAGAAAGGGCAAGTTCCCCACAAGAAGTTATGCACAACTTCAATTGACCTGGATGGGTGTCACAGTATTCCAATTTTTCACAGTGCTTCTGGTCTAAAAGCTGAAGCAACTTAAAGCAAAAGCACTGTTTTACACTTAAAAATATTTTATACATATTCTATTTTTTTCCCCTACAATTAAGAGAAGTTTCCTTGGTTTCCATGTGAGGAAATCATTGCCTAAAGCTCAACATCAGCTCTTAAAGTTCCCAATCATGAATTCTTTCTTAATCTTCATCTATGTCCACCTGAAAATTTTTCTGCTAGTCTACTGAGTCCAGGAGGCTGAAGGAAAACAGTTATGTAAAATATTAGATCACAAGCAGAATCTCTGCTCCCTTGATGGGAAGGATGAAGAGAACAAGCTTCAACTTCAGCTAAGAAGGTAGAGCAAGAAAAAAAAATAATTCTTTAAAATGAAATACATGGAATTATCATTTCAACCTGAAAAAAAACTGAGGGGAAGTGAAGAAAAGAAGAAACACGTGTATTTATCAAAGCAAAAAGCAAGCAGGCTGATTCAAAACAGCACAACATTTGTCCCCACACACATTTTTCTAACATCTCCAAATCCACAGTGTTGGATGAATATTTACTTTCTCTTACTTTAATCAACTACTGTGAATTTGGGCTCAAATATGGAAAGGCCAAAAGAACTGCAAGATAAACCAGCAAATTATCCTTCCCATACACAGAGTCTGGTTTTGTTTAAGTAGGCAGTAGAGCAATACACTTTTGTCCTATGTTCCAATCTTTAAACACTGAGCTATTTCCAGAAATTAGAAAGAAAAGTAATTTTCAGGTTGAACAATTCATGTGAATCAGTAGAAGGTGAAAATGTATTCCAGAGAAGTTCTTGGGAGCTTCTCCCAAGGGAATGTTGAGACAGGGCTTGTTTCTGCTGTGCCAGGACCACACAAACAAGAGAATCCATCATAAGTGGGTCCTGGAACCACACAAACCTCTTTTTTTACACGTGATCTTTTGAAGGAATGAATGCAACTAATCCAATTTCAGTTAGAAATTTGAGACAGGGTTCCAATAAAAAGCTGAACTTACCTTCTCATAGGGCCTGCTACAGCCAAACCCAAATATCAGCAGGTGCCCATGGGAATCTGTACATGCAAAATGCTGCCCATCTGGGGAAAATTTACAGTCAAAAACAGCCCCATGGCCTTGGCCTTCAATCTGCATTGAAGGAAAAGAAACCTCCAGGTTACTGGATGATTTTTTGCAAGCAAACCATAATGCACACCCAAAATTAATTATTCCATGAAAAGCAATCATGCAGCTCCTAAATACCTCCATTAAGGCACAAATAATCTTGTTACTTCAGTTTATTTCCTTGCCCTTTGACATTCCCTTTTCCCCTTTGAATTTAAATCCTCAACCCCTCAAGTTTAAAAGCTGCACTAAAGAGCAGGAAAACTTGCTGTTCAGCAAAAAAAGTAAAGAAATAAAAGTGTTTTTTAGGCTTTATAGCTGTTAGCACATTGCTTAAAGTAAACTGGAGCTAATATATATTGATTTTCTTACACCACTTGCAAGAAAAACTCAGAGAATCTTAAGAGCTAAAAAAAAATTAAAAAATCCCTTTGCTACTGACTAACCAGAAAAAAATAAAAGGATTAAAAAATTATATGAACTTTAGATCATAACTTAAAACTCTGAGAAAATAACCTAATTTAAAGTGTTAACCACGAGCTTGAAACGCAGCAAATGTAACAGGAGCTCTCAAGAACTGTGCCAATGGGTAATAAAATAATTTTTAAGACAGCGGAAAATACAAATATTTGTCCCCAAGGCTCCCAAAATGATTGTCTAAACCAGAAACTTTCAGATGGCACCTCAGTTGAGGAAAACAGTTCCTACAAATGAGGTGCACTCTTTAGTAACAAAGAGTGGAAAAGCTGCAATAACCAGGAAATTCAAAGGTAAAAGCCCTGAGGAAAAAAATGAACATAAATTTTGCTAGTTTGGGGTTGGTTTTTTTGGGTTTTTTTTCCAAAAGGTGCAGGGGGTGTGAGTGTTGCTGACAATTCCTTCAGCTGGTATGTGTTGGGAATAAATGGTGTTTAAGAAAGGTCTTACCATGTTAAAGTAATGCTTGGTTTTGGTGCCTTTGGTGATGTCCCAGATGAAGATGTTGCCATCATGACCTGCAGACAGCATTATCCTGGAATCAAAGGGATGGGTCTCCAAGACAAACACCTCATCTGCATGGCCCTGGAATTCCAAATGGCACATCACAAGGAAAAGCCACATCAGCAGGATATTTACAGTACATACAACAGGGATTTACCAAAACCCTGCACCATCCTCTCTGGAAAATTAAACCCCTTCACATTCTAAAGGTAATAATTCTTGAGATTGAAGCAAAAACTGTAGAAATATTTTGCCAGAGGACTGTGAATTATTCAATGGGCAAGTTACTGCACAAAACCTTTTATTTATTCCACAAGTTCAGCAGCACCTGGGGAAAGGAAAATCCAAATGCAGGAGGAAACAGCGAGTTTTGGTTAAAAAAAAACTCCAAAAAACCATCACAGTTGCTGCACCATTCATACAGAGCCTTCAAGACAAATGAGATCTAATTAGGAACTCGGCACAAACATCACTGCAATTCCAGGAAAATCTTCAAAAGGCAAGGAAAAGGACATACCACCAAGTCATGGAGCAACTGCCCTGTGCAGGAATTCCACACTTTGAGCAGGTGATTGTTCACAGCAGTAACAACATAATTGTCATTTTGGTTCCAGGCAATCATGGTCACTTTGGGCTTCATGAATTTGTCCTCTTCTGCACAAGTGTCACTGTTTGAAAGAGTCAAACAGGCCAGAGACAGCTTTAATTAGCACATTTCAACCTCAAAATACAGAAAAATAACCTGTCTTCTCATGATCAGACAAGGGAAATGAAGAATAATTAAACTTGGGTTGAAACTTTTGTCCATAAACTTCCTTCACTTAAAGCAAATCTGGATTTTTAGCACATTTATTTCAGAGGACACGATAATCTCTTTCCCATTTGAGATGCCAGGCAAAAAGGCTTTCCTTTTCCATGGAATCTTGGCTCTTCTACAATTACAGTCCTAACAGAAATCCTCTACAATTTGGGACTTTTTTCAGGCAGGTTTTCCAAATGAACTGATTCAGAAGCCAATCTCCACATTAGCCAAGGGTTTTTCTCTGAGTCCTCAAATAAATATAGCAAAGATAATATTTTGTTTCAACCTCAATCTATTTCCTTATTCTTTCCCCAAAATACACTTACAGGATACTGTAAAACTCCCCTCAGCATTTTAGTCCAAGTGAAGGAACTATCTTTCCCTGGAACACACCTTCCCACAGGATTATCTGTATTCCATGTCAACCAGAGGCCTCTCTTACAAAGACCCTCTCAACTCCACAACCCCACTTAAATCTCAAATATTATTAATAACTCCTCCTTTCTTTGTAAAATCATGTTTATTTTTCGTGACTGTGTCACAAGAAGAGCTGGAAATCACCCTCCATCCAATCAACTCCTGTACCCAAGGCTTGGCTTTTAATTTAATCACCTACAAATCACTTCGTTAAAACCTCATTTAATCACCTACAAATCAACTGTTGTTTAGTGTCTAGGGAAGCTGACTGAGCATTCTGTGCTCCTGTAAATGATCCACCCTTCAGGTTTATCCAGCAAGTAATACCCTGCTTTTCATCTGTAATGCCACTGTTCAGGCTGTGCCACCAGCATTTCACTAATACACCTTTTTTAAAGCACAGAATGAGAAGAGTCAGCAAGATCAGCACTTGAGGAAACCCACAAGTCATAACCTCTCCTGGAAATGGGTTAATTACCACCTACTTTATTTTTCCTGATCTAAAAATATTTCTCCCCTGACACACCAGGTGTCTGAAATCCAGACAGAGGAGAGAGATTGCACTTTCTGTTCACTTTTTTCCAGAGTCCATTTGAAATCTTTATGAACACTTTTGCTTTTCTCCAAGCACAGCCTCAAATTCAGCAACTACCACATCAGCAAAACACCCATTTCATCCCTCCAGAAAGCACAGAACTCAAGCAGGATGTTGCCAAGGCTCACTCTAGTTGGAGGAATTGAGTTTTTCAATCTTTCTGACTTCACAAAACAAGAAATCAACTCCCTCTCCACCTACCCCAGCAATCGGTCAGACATGTCCAACAAGATACTCCTCCATTCTGCCTGCTCAAAATGCCAGATTCTGGCTGTTCCATCTCTGCTGCCACTTATGAACCTGAAGAAATGTTAAAATATAGTTAATTTACCTCCAAAAGAATTTGCTTTAAAGCATATTTACAGCTGCACACCACCACAACATCAGTTTTGCAATGGAAGAGTTGTAGAAGTGAAATCTTCCAGGTGTGTGCAAGAGAATTCTGTCCTTTAACTTTCTTTCCAGAGACAGAGGAAAGAGAGTTTTTCTGAACTAAGTAAAGCTGTCAAAACATGAAGAATAAAAAAGCAAGTTCCAAAGTTCAACTCAATTGACAACTTCATCCTCAACTCCTCAGTTACAACACTTTCATGAAGTGTTTTAAGGAATTGCAGAGTATCAGATACTGAAGTAGAGGCAAGAGGAAATCAGATGAAAAGGATTATAATTTATTTTTGACCATTTTCACTGCATTTTTCCTATTTCCTTTACAATATTTCCTGACAGTGAAAGGAAAGGAGGGGGAAGAGGAGGTTCATGAAGCCACAAATACACTGGGTATATTAAAAACCAGTGGTAACATTCCTCCAGGTAAATGAAGCTTTCCTGGATCACTCCAGATTTCCCCTCTGAGTTCTAAATATGTGGATTTTTCTCACTGGAAACATCCAGGTAAGAACAATAATTATTATTAATTCCAAAATGATGCATTTTTCTGTTCACATCTGAGCATCTTTCAACATACCTGTCCCCACCATTGGAGAACTGAATGCTGTCAACTTTGTCCTGTAAGAAAAAGCAGAGTTTGTTAGAAAATTTGGGGTTTTTATACAGGAAATACCGTTTTTGACAAATCTGAGCTCAGCAAAATCTGAAACAAGGAAAAAGCTGCGTATTTTATAATTCTGAAGAGTTTTAAACTGCAAGGAGAACCAAATCCAACAAACACTGCCCAGGATTCACTAAGCATTAATGCATTTAAAATGCAAGTTTCCTGAACAGCCCAAATCAAACATGAAGGATTAACAGATTAAATAATCTGGCTGCCAACTGAATCATATTTGAATATATTCCCAATGCCATAGGCCAATGTTGAGGAATGTGCTGCTTCCACTTCTACCTACACACTCCTTAAAGAAAGAAACCTATTAGTTATTCACTTTTATCACAATAAAAACTGCAGGAGAAATAGGGAAAAACAGGTAACACATTTTATTTTCAGAGCTGAAATTCTCTGCATACAAAATATGTATGGACCAAACCTTATCACTGCAACAGAAAGTGAGATTCAATATTAGAGAAAACACATAAAGGTAAACAAAGTTAATTGAGAGCCTTGCTAAAAACCCACTTATAACATCACCTTGTGACTTCATTACTGCTTGAAGTGACTAATTAACTAATTACTTACAGCATGACTTCCCAATTCTGCTATTTTCACAGGTGTTTCAGAGCCAAAAAAATACATCCTGATGACATGGTCAGTGCTGCCAGTTGCTAAAAACATACCACCTGTAAAAATCAAGCAATAACTAAGCTACTGTGTAAGAAATTAAAGCAGATCACCATCATCTCTCTCTAATTGAAATAAAAAAAAACAACAAACCACCCACAACTATTTGAAGAACAGCACATTTTTTATGCTCTTCCTCTGACACATATGCAAGGAAATCCCCCTCTTGCCCCAGAAAGTTTTCTCAGCCACAGTAAAAATAAATCAGAGTTACAAAGATTTTAAAAATTCTTAACTTAGAACAAGAGTGAAACTTCTATTACTAAACTGCACACAGAGGCCTGTGATGATGGGGAAAGTGGCTCTGGATGATCAGAATTCTGTAGGTGACTCTCACTGTAGCCTGGGGCTCATTTGGGCTCTCCCCTGACCATGTTAACAATTTACACTTGGATTTGTTATTTTATTTCTGAAATTCCCAGAAAGCCCCATGAACTGGATGAAAGAAAACTGCAAGCCAGGAGTGCAGCACATTTACAGGTACATCTGTGGATCCTTAGGAAAGAAGGGATCTTTGTAACCATTCCTGGCACAAAATCACTGCTGGGGACTGTGGGATCTCAGAGAACTTGTTTTGCAAATCCCTGACACTGTATCAGGGGATTAAACAAAAATAAAAATCCAGCAAAGATGGAGAAAAAGTAAAAAAACATCAGGTGACTTTTACTTCTGTCAAATCACTCTCTTAACAGCTTTTCACTGTTAGCTGAGGGAAGCCCCATGATTTAATAATGTCATAATTAATACACCCTATACACTTCTTTACTCATAGCTGCAGGTTGTGTCCATTTTAAAGCTGTCACAACCAAATTTTATATTTATATTTCTGAGGAAGGAAGAGAAATCACTCCACCTGTAGTCCAGGACTTACCCACACTGAAGGAAGAGCAAAGCATCTGGACCCCTGGTCTGGGTTTCTCTGTGAACCTCAGTGGCCGGTTGCTTCAAAAAAGAAAAGATGCTCTGAACAGGCCACACCACCCAAAACTTGGCTTTTCTCAACAGTTCCAAACATAAAGGGATGTTTCTTCAAACCTCTGCCTAACAGGGACTTCTTAGACACAGTAACATCTGTAAATCTTTGAGAACTACCAGTGCTTAAAGTCATTTAAGTCCATGCATGAACTAACAATGGTTACCTCACACACAGTCTTTAAATTAATTTTAGAAGGAAAATAATTAAGGATGCAGTTTGTTTTACAGCCCTAAAAGATTCTTCAGATGAGATTATGCTTTTTATAGTTTCTTCTGCAATTCTACTACCTTAACATCACAAGTTTGAATTAAAAAGCTCAAATACAATAATAAAATATAATCTGCTTTCTAAGGCACTGAGCTTTATTTAATGGATCATTTTATACCAACTCTCATGATATGACACAATAGCAGACAAAGACTAATCATCCTGGAGCTTTTCTTTCTGGTAATAATCTAATTTTTTGGGGGTACAATCACATATAGACATCCTGGACATGTACACTCTGCATGGAAGTTCTGTAAGAGGCACCCTAAAACCCCAGGACTGTTGGAAACCCAACACAAACAAGAAGCTTTATTATGCTTTGCAACATATTTACATTTCCAGCCATTTTTTTTGTACTCCTTTGTACTTTTAGTGGAGTAAGAAGTTAACATATTTCCCAACTAACCTCCCAGGACAACATAATTTCGTGAATTATATAACTAGTGATGGTGCTTTAAAATAATTATGGAATTAATTATTTCCACAACACTTTTTCACAACAAACCCAAATTTTTTTTTTAGGGTTTTACTTATTTTACTCAAGCAGAGGACAGCATAAGAGGTTGAGCAGCAGCCCATTTACATACTTGAATTTCATGGAATCTGTATCCCACTGCCAAAAGCAAACAGTTCCATCTGCACCAGTGGAGACCATGTACCTCATGGAGCCTTTCACCATTGGACTAAACTACAGAGAATAAAGGGAAATCAGACACACACACACACACAAAAAGAAATGTTGAAAAACTGGTTATGAACTTCTCAAAAGGTTCATGTAAAACCCTGATTTGCTTTTGGATTTTTGAACATTAACACTGCTCTAAAATTTTGAACTATCACTTTTTAGTGTTTACAAAGTAATATCTTCCACACTTGGAAATAACTTTGTGGTCTGCATTTCAATTATTGCATCATATAAACCCAGTTTGTTCAGTGGTTTGGTTTTGAAGTATTAACTAACCACAGTCATTCACTGAACGTTTTGTCCATGAATGAAACTAATAAGCAGAGCAGACTGAATGAAAAAAAGAAAGTCTGGCTAGACAGATGTACTCCAAAAATTCTATAATTAAGCAGAGCATGAGTTATGAGGTAGTTTGAATGTATAACTCAGCATCACATGTGATTTTATAGGAATTCCTCAGAAATACTTCTTTAAGACATGGATTTCTTGCTGTGCACAGAGCAGAAAACTTTACACAACACAAGGTGATTAAACTGTTCATCAGTTACTAATGTTGGAAACAGCCATAAAAACTGTACATAGTGCAATTATAGTATTACTAAGAAATCTTAAATTAAAATAAATCCACATGCTATAATAAAAGAAGCACCTCAAATAAATATTTTGGCATTAAAAAAAAACCAAACAAAAAATGCAATGAATGCCACAGAAACTGCAGATAGGAAGATTACTCTCAGAGGCAGAGAAAAATGCAAAATTATTTGTTTGTACTGAGCTTCACAAGCAGCTCTTCACCTCTCAGCATAAGCTGCTGGTCCCACTGGAAAACACAGCAAAGGTGGATACTGAGCCACCAGTTTGTGTGTTAAATAAGGGATTATAAAGGCCAAAATGAGACTGAATCCAAAGGACCACCAAGAGCACATCATGGAGCACAAGGCCTTCAAATTTAAACACACAACAGTGAACATCTTTGTGCTTCTCAAGTAACTCATATTTTTGAGATTAAGACAAAAACCTTTATCACAACAGTTGTGGGAATCACATGCTGGATCAGGACACTCATCCACATAAACCAGTAACAAAGAGGAGGACATGGTATTTCCCAGAAATTCCCTTGGATTCCAACAGCCCAAATATTACAAGTAGGGATCCCTAAGTGAAGAAGTTTGTATCTTCAGTTAAATACTCAGGAATCCCAGAGAGGCAAGGAATTTGCTGCTTTTTAAGCAGTTTATCCTGGGGTTTTATTTTACTCGTTTTTTTGACAGATGTTCAGATTTCAATATTCCCACTGAAATAATTCCAGAAGAACACTTAAAAGCCCCTACCTGTAAGGAGGTAATGGACCCTGTGTGCCCGTGCAGGACAGCCACTGGAGCACAGGTTCTCAGGCACCACACCCGGATCATTTTGTCACAGCTCCCGGCTGCAATCATGGTGTTCTCATAGTTCACTGCCATGTCAGAGATCTCTGCTGAGTGGCCTCTTAATGTGGCAAACAACCTGCCATTGTGAGTCGACCAGATCTTCACCAGGCAGTCATCTGAACCCTGGAAAGAAATATTTAGTCAAGACAACAGCTTCTTGCACGTTGCTGGCCTTTAATTGCAGCAGATTGTTCCACTGAGGGGGAGCTGATCAGCTGCATTTTAGCACCACTGACATCCAGCTCCAAGCATCCATCTCAAACCCTTCCCACTGGGATGTGTTTCATCAACTTACAGTAAATATTCTGTGTCCAGTCCTATCAAATGCAACACAGTACACAGAGGAGAGATGGCCAAGGATCCTTCTGTGCATCTTGACATGCTGGTACATGCTTCCTGGGAATGAGGTGCTGAACTTGGCATATCCAGTTAATTGCTTTGCTCGATGCACTTCCACTGGAACACAAAGAAATCATGTTTAAAATAGGTTTATTCTAAACCACAGTTTTATTCAACTTCCATCAATATGTTACTTAAAGACTTAACTGGAAGCGATTTTCAGATTTCATCCAGTCAGGTTTCTCTGTATTTGCATTTTTTTTTGGTGTCAAATCAGTATTTTGAGTGTGCTCCAGCAGCAGTGGTGAGAGCTGAGCAGAGCTTACCGAGGTTTGGGGGGGTGCCATAGTTCACAGGCATTTCAGGGGGTCTTCCTCGGTGGAGAGCAGCAAATGCAGAGCCCTTCCAAACAGTGTTCCTGCAATCTGCAAAACCACTTGGTTGAAGTTCATCAGAAACACAGGTCAAAAATGCCAAAAGAGAGGCAATTCCAAAGAGCCCATCTAAAGGTGGCCTCAAACACAGGGCTGAACCCACTAAAAAGCCAGGAATGCCCCCAAACTTTTCACAAGCAGTGCAGCATCAGAGGAGAGAAAAAAATCCATTTAGTAATCATCCATTTAATAATAATCCATTTAATAAACATCCATTTAATAATAATCCATTTAATAAACATCCATTTAATAATAATCCATTTAATAAACATCCATTTAATAATAATCCACTTAATGAACATCCATTTAATACCAGAAGGAGGGAACACTGACATAACCAACCACGAAACTTTGAAATTTACTCCCAAATGATGGTACCAATGCAAAACTAACTTTTCAATTGAATTTTTGCTACTTGCTCTCAGTACCAAGCTGTGAAGATTTGTCACATTCTCATCAATATCAATTCAGAAATTTAATTAAGGTTTATTTAATATTTATTAGGATGAAATTACTTAACAAGATGATCTCAAGACTCTTTAAGTACCTAAAAGGGGCTTGCAAGAAAGCTGGAGAGGGGCTTTTCACAAAGGGACAGGACAAGGGGGAATTGCCTCAAGCAAAGAGGGTAGGGTTAGATGGGATATCAGGAATTCTTCCCATTGAGGGTGGGGAGGCCCTGCCCCAGGTTGCCCAGAGAAGCTGTGGCTGCCCCTGGATCCCTGGAAGTGTCCAAGGCCAGGCTGGAGAGGGCTTGGAGCAATGTGGGATAGTGGAAAGCATCCCTGCCCATGGCAAAGGAGTTGGAATGAGATGAGCTTTGTGGTCCCTTCCAACCCAAACCATCCAATAATTCCAAGATCTCCCTTCTTAAAAAAAAAATAAATCTCAAACTGACAGTTGTTTTGACACTCCTGCTGACATAACTGCAATCCCAATTTCCAGGACAGAACAGTCCCCATCATTCCCTGTGCAATCTTTAAAGCAGGCAGGGCAGGTAACTGAAAACACACCAGTATCCCATAAACTAGTCCCACATCCCAGAACCCAGCTACCCAACAGAACTCACACAGACACATCAACACCCCTGCCCAGGACACACCCCAAGAGGTAAATCCAACACTAAAATCTACTCTGTATCAAAGTACAAGGTCATGTATTGCCAACCACTCCCTAAATTACCGATGATTTTCTTCAGTGTGTGGACAGAACTCCCAAGCATTCCCAAACTCTTAACTATGCACATCTAACACAGGACCATCCCCATCCCCAAAAAACCCCAAACCTCACCTTTTGCTGTCCGTAGCAATGACTGTCTCCCTGCACCAAGCAAGGAATTGACTCTGGAAATGCTGGGTGGGATCTCCTTATCCAGGATAGGGCCAATCCTCTTGCAAATTTGTAATAAATGATCTGGAGCCACATGTTTGTTGGAGAGCACCTGACAGGAATTTAAGTTTTAAAAAAAAATCTGTAGAACAGATGAATCTAAAAGCATCAACATTCACAGGTATATTAAATAAATTAAAACTTTAAGTTCAACTTACAAACCAAAATCAATCCTGTTAAGCTCTGATCTAGTAAATTCAGTGAGGACTCTACAAGCAAGGGAGAGCTGTAGTAAAAATAACTGCAGCAAAAAAGTAACTCGCTGCACATCAGTATTTTACTACTGGAAGCTTCAAATAACCACCTCTGTGGCACCCTACAAGTGAGAGTCTTTGTCCATTTCACCCAGTTATTTGCATTAAAAATAAGAATTAAAATTCAAACCCTCATAACTCGAGATCATGGAGAATTTGGTTGCAATCAAGCACAAGAATTTGTGCAGCTACTCCTTCAGCCACACAGCACTTGCTCACTGAACTGCAAACTAGTAGGTTTGAGTACAATCTCCCTGGAAATAGCTTCCTTGAAAAACCAGTACTACACAAGTCTGCCCTACTTCCTTAAACCAAAAGGATCACAACAGTCATCCCTACATTCAGGAATGATCCCACACTATCTGCATTAAACAACCTAAAAAAGCCACACACCCCACACACACTCAGATGGCTCAGTCAAGAACAGATGTGTGTGGGGTTTACTTTTTTCACCCTCTTCTTTCTGAGTGTTCTATGAAAAAAAAAAACCCTAATTCTTTTAAAGTCAATCACAACAATGCAGAAGGTAAAGATGCAAAGGAGGGTTTGAACAGCCTCAGGTAAACCAAAGCATCAGAATCATGAACTGAAGCTGCTGGGGAGGTGTGAATCAGTCCCGTGCTGCCTCCACTCTGACCTGGCCACGGAGAAACCTGTCAGAGCCAGCAGCCACTCTGCTCCTCCAGCAGCCACACAATTCCCAGCCCATCCAGCCAGGAGAGGCACAGGGCCACACCAACACAGGTATGTGGCCTCCTGCCCAGGCAGCTGAGAACACAGGCAGAACGAGCTCGTGCTGCTGCTGCTGCTCCCTCGGCTGAATGACTGAGCCTGGATGAGCCAAGTCCTGCCAAGGCTGATCTCCCTCCTCAGAGCAGTGGGAATAAAAATGCATCAGGCAAGACCTGTGCAACAAAAAGCTGCCCAAATGCACAGTTAAAGCCACAGCTTTGCACTTGTTTTGGTAATAAAAATCCAGGCTTGAAGCTCGTGGGGGTACAGGTTGTATTCCTGAGGTGGGAACACCAGTAAAATAGTTTGCATTATCCCATGAGCAAATATATCCAAGAAAATCAGCTCATGGGATGCCTAAGATCAATTATAAGAAATACCTTTGGTGGTCCAAAGATTACAAAATGTACTTTTTCATCGTTTCTTCACCAGTTTTGCCTCTTGAACTGGTACAGAGCAGTACCAGCCACAGCACTCAGGACAGAAAGCTCAGCACACTTTCTGCCAAGCATTAAAACCCTTTTTGTTTGTGTGCCATCAGCAGGAAGTGTATATTCCAAATGCAATCCTTGCATGCAAAACCTTGCAATCCTTCTCCTTTTTAAAGTAGTTTCGCTCCAATTTTGGAAGGAACAGTTATTTTAAAGTTTTAAAATGCCACGAGGAACACAGAGGATAAGAAGTAATTACACCCCATGGTTGCATTTGTCCGTGGTCTCTGCAAGTTCAGAGTGAGAACAGTGGGACAAGAGGGTCCCAAAACCCCTCGAAAAGCAGAAATTGAAGTTTAGGAGATTAATTTAGATATTCTGAAACACTGCTGCCCTGTGCAGACATTTCTTTTAAAATGTGCAGGAAAAAGAGGCAGAAGCAGCACACGTTAAAGAATTAATCTGACAACTGTATGTGCACAATAATCTCAGTTGAAAACCACTCCTGAAGTCAGAAGAATCCACACGATTCATCTCCCAACACCTCACTTTTTGCCAGAAGAAATGGGGTAAAAAAACAACAATGAACCAACAAAATAACTCCCAACAACCCCTTTTAAACTTCATCCTGCTTTCATCTTTGCTAAATTCAAGTCAGAGCTTGAAGATATTCCTGTTTAGCAAGACTAGGCTTCTTAGTGATTTAAAAAACTCATCTAAAACCTCATTTGCTCGACTGACCACACTGACAAGAAGAGGAAATGGAATCAAATTTATTGTTCTGAGCAACATTTAAATAATTAGGAAAATCTTTTAAATAAGATTTCATTCCTTCTCAAATAGGATCCTGAGATCTTTAAGTGCTCCACAACAGGGATTTAACTACAATAATCAATTAACCTGGAATGTCTGAATCTTAGGAGGGAAAAAAGCAAGAATAAACACCTCTTTAAAGAAAACAAAACCAACTAGAATAAGGTAGGATAAAAACCAGGTTGGGCAGGCACCCCCAGACCATCACTTCACGAGATTCAACTGCCAAATACACTTTGCCACTTAAAAAGCAGCAAAATTAAGCACCAAAACGCAGCTCTCCCTTCTGTAAAAACATTTAGAGCAAGCAACATCAGCCCTGGAGGGCAGAAAGTACATTTTTTTTTGAGAGAGATCATCCCCATCCTTCCGGCATGCGGAAACAAAGCAGTGACCAGCGAGGAGCCAGAGATAACGAGCACGTTCCCAGGCACCAGAACTGCCAACCCTCGGGTTTCTGAGCAGCGATTTCATTTCCTAATCTGTTGGAGGGGGCTGAAAGAAGCCAACCAGCAAAATAAATACCGACAAATCAAAACGTGCCTCACAACCTTGCCCCTGAAACTCCGAAATGAAACCTCGGTGCACATTGGCTCCTGCCTGCGTGTAGGCAGCGGCATCTACCACTGCACAACGCCAAGCTCCACCTCTGCTATGTAAACAATATCCTCAATTTAAACCACCGCTTGTGTTTTCGTTAGTCTGATGTAAAGAAATTAAAGGCCCTTTTCTAAAATAACTCCGCTGTCCAGAGCCAGAGCGATACTGGAAAGTGAAGGTTTGGGCCTAGTTTTAAAGGTAGAGGGGTCTAACATCAGCGTTAACGCGATAATCAGAAGGGTTTTTTTGAAAGGTAAAAGTCTCACCAATTCTTCGTAACTTCTATAATGCTCATTTCCTTGCCAATCCAACCTTTTAGGAAGCAACTAAATAAAGGAAAAAACAAAAACCGTGAGCGGTTGAAGGGGAAGGAGGGATTACAGATCACATCCAAAACAATGTGTGTGTTGAAGGCGGGGGAAAAGTTGAGACAGCGGCAGAAACTTGAATGACTTGCAAGGGAAACTTTTAACTACAGCGGGATTTCATCAGAGCCCACACAGACCTGGTGCTGCTCCAGCTCCTGCACCAGCACCTGCAGAGGAAAAGGGGGAAAAAAAACATAG